ATTTTGCAATTTGAAGTCCCTAATGAATACTTTGATGATGATAGAAAATTGCACATACACGGTGAGATAAAAAACACTGCAACAAAGTCAAACGCCATACTTTTTAAATGTTTTTTTTAATTTTATTGAATGAAAGCAAAAAATGTCGGAAATAGTATCAAATTTTAGAATAAGTTTAGATTTGTTCGAATTGGCCACCTTTGGCACGAATTATGGCCTTCAAACGGCCAATGAAACCGTCACACGCTGCCCGAATGTTGCTCTGCGATATTTTGGCCCATTCCATGCGAAGCGCGTCTACGGTCTGCGGCCAAAATGTTTGCCCAAGGCTTTAGAATATTTTCGCAATAATATTCGGTATTTATTCTGATGCCACGGTGGATTAATACGAGAGGAGAGCGGTCATCGGCTGTTATGGCGGCCAACACCATCATCATGGCCGGCGCTTGAGTTCTGGTGGCCAACCGAAGGCTCACATTTTCAGCTGTCCTCTTTGGAAAGTAAACACGATCATTGATCATCATTTGTTTACAAACTGCTGTTTTCTCATCGAAGAAAACCAAATTCGGCAGTTCACCACTTTCGGCCAAGCGAAGCAACTCTTTAGCTCTTTTGAGTCTATTTCTTTCTGTTGCGGTGTAAGTTCTGCACTTTTTGGAATTTCAATTTTTCATTTTTCAATATTTTGTCAAATGGAATATTGCGATATCCACTTCCTTGACGTCAGGCTACGCTACCAGTATCACGGTAACGAGCGATGGTACGAGACACAAAAATTTATTCACATTTAAATACTGGAGTGGAGGACGATAGCCACTTGTGGTTTTCCAGACAAATTTAAAGAAATCACACTATCACGCTTGAATTCCATCACGAATAATTTTTTTCCTGGAAAATTCTAACCAAAATGCTGTTGAACGCTTATAAGCAATATAACGAGCTATCACTAGAATAATTGTACCAGCTGTCGGACGAATGGCTTAGAAATGAAGGCATTCTGAAGTTGGTTGCAGTTTTTTCATCTCACCCTGTAAATGTCCACGTCTTCGTATAGCCCCCATATAACGGTAATTCCCTATATTCGGTATTTTGATGATTTCAGCGACTTTATTCACCAGAATTATTTCACATTTCGTAACGGGTGCCACAGCCTGCGACTGGCCCATGTCTTCGTATAGCCCCCATACAACTGTTTTCCCTGATATTGAGTATATTCATGATTTTAGTTACATCATTCAACGGAATTGTATTAAATTCCGTATTTGAAGGAATTTGAATATCGTAATGATCTATGATGAAAATTACATTTTACAGGTCCTCGTCTTCGTATAGGCCCAATATAACGGTAACTCCATATATTCAATATTTTTATGATTTTAGCAGTATTTTTTAAAGGTGTGTAGGGTAGAGATTTAAATCTGGTTTTTCAAATATGTGCAAAAATGTAAGAAAAGTATTAAACGGAAATTTGGTTTATATGGGGGGACAGAGTTGTATTGGGATAACTGTTCCAAACCAAAATACATAAAATTTTATTTTATTTCGAACTACGAAAACTTTATTCAGTTTGGGAAGTTCATATAAAGAGGTGTCCTGGAAATATGTGCTAAGTGTAAGACTTGTACAAAATTGTACTGAATTTAGTACAATTTTAGTTTGGTGAATGGATAAAGATGGAAATTTAAAATATTGAATTGGGGCTTCTGCTGGTTGATGGGGTTAAAATAAATAGTTGGTTTCGAAAATGCGTTCAACAATTAAACAATATGTAGTAAATGAAGGCAATTAGGGAGTTACCTATATAGTGAGACCTATACGAAGACGTGGACCAGTATATGCAATTTTCGGTCGCAGGCTATAGCAGCCATTACGAACTAACAATAAGCAACATGCAGGGATGCAGTACCCAGTAGGAAATTCAAATTCAAAATTTTAAAGATTTCACACTATTAATTTACAATAAATTTGTGTTAAAATTTTGACTCAAATACCCAAAACAGCTTAAATCTTCCGGTTCAGTTATATGGGGGCTATATCATAACGTGAATCTAATTGGCCGATTTTCAATACCAAATATTCTACGGACCTAAACCTCATCTTATTAAAATTTTATCAGCCTACGTCATTACGTTCGAAAGCTAGAGTGATTTTCACATGCATGGCTCAAACGATATATAATTTTATTCTAGTCAAGAATATATATGTATTTTGTAGCGTCTATAATGCTTATTTCGAGAAGTTAAAAACGGGATGACAAACTAAATACACCCTCCATACTATGTATAAGAGAAGCTGACCATTTAATAAACTACAACACTGCAATTACTGCAAATCTGAATATCTTTTGACCATCTATATATTATCCAATGACCATCAAAAATGCTAGGCTTCTGCTCTGACCTGAGCTCTAACCTCATAAAAATTCCATTTCTATTGGTCCTTAGTTGAGGGCTGTATGGTGACTACAATATCTAGTAAATTTTTAGGCTTTTCGCCCATTTTAAACTCCAAATCCATCGGATTGTATTCTGATCCTAACCCTAGTCATGTTAAATGTCGTGCAGATTGGACGATAATTGTGATCTAAATACAATACCTCTAACTGAAAGTTTTGCAAGATAAAACAAGTTAAAAAGCTGTAAGTTCGGCTGGCCCGAACTTTGAATACCCTCCACTGTTTGGATCGAATTCGACAATTTTCAAAAAAAATAAAATCCGTTAAAAATTCTGTTAAAATTTTAAAAATACTATTATGTAAACCTGCACAGACAATTTTCTGCCTTAAGCTGCAGTATCAATTACGAACTTCAAATACCAAATTTGAAACAATTCCGGTGAATAATGTCGCTAAAATCCTCAAAATACCAAATATCGGGAGGTACCGTTATATGGGGGCTATACGAGACGTGAACGTGGAGAGGCAATCTCCAGTCATATGCTGTAGTATCCATTTCGAACTTAAAATACCAAATTTGAAACAATTCCGGTGAAAAACATCGCTAAAATCATCAAAAAATACTTCAAGTATTGCCATCTACCAAATCTTCTTGAATACCACATTTTGTGGGTAAATGTGACTAGGATTATCAAAATACCGAATATCGGTGGGTATCGTAATATGTACGCTATAGGAAAATGTGGATCTAAATATTCAATTTTCTGCTACCGGAGCTAGAACCCGTTATGAAATACAAATACCAATTTTTAAATAATCAAAATACCAATAATCATCAAAATACCCAATATCGGGAGGTACAGTTATGTGGGGGCTATACGAAGACGTGACCCATTTTCAATACAAAAAGTCCTGCAGACATAATATACATTTGAGTAAAATTTTATTAATCTACCTCATTTCGTTCGGAAGCTAAAGTGATTTCCCCAGACTGACGGACATCACTAAATCGACATAGAATTTTTGCTGTTCAAGAATATACATACTTTATGGGGTCTAAAATGTATATTTCGAGGTATTACAAACGGAATGACAAACTTAATATACCCTCCATACTATGGTGGAGGGTATACAAATTATATGTAACAATTTCTTCTGAATATTTACAAAGGTCCATTCAAGTAACATGCCTATATTTTTTGTAATATTTCAAACCTGCTAGATGTCGTTGTTGAGACTTTGAATTTTGAGAATTTGGTAATTAAAAATGCGCAATCCTAATTAAGAAAGGAATGTCGTCTACAAAATTTTGGCGACACGTGTTTGCAACGATATTTTTTGAACTACCGGTATTATCTATTGACGTTCATTGCTCATTCTATTTGTCACAATAACAAATATAGCTTGGGACTCCGTAATTTATACATCGAATAAAGCTTACAAAATTAAAGCCTATGTCGGTTCGCAGATAAACAATAGTTTTACAAAATTGTCTCTCAAGAAAAACTCTAAAAATGAAAAATGGAATAATTCGAATTACAAATGACACATTACGAATTAAAACTAAAATGATTAGAACTACAACTAAAACCAATATAGTTTGAATATTATTTTCATAAAATATTTCTAAAATTTAACATGTGTTTTCAAATATTTCAGTCTCAAATATAATTAAGCTATTTGTTATTACAAATGAACTTGTACCAAATTACAAATGAAATTATCGAATTGTCATGAAAGTATTTTTAATTACATCTGAAAATTGTGTAGTGACAATAAACCTGCCTTTGAATTCCGATTGCCTGATGTGTAGTATGCCTAACTGTCTCATTACTTGAACCCAGACAGGCATGTGCAATGAGTTACAAAACCCCCCAAAAATATTCCATTGCTAAATCTTATAAGAAAACAAATAAGCGAAGGCTATAGTCGTGCGGGACCGACCATGTGATACCCTACAACACTACAATATGTTACAAGCTCCCTTATGTCTATATATTAAGGAAGATTTGGCTTTTGAAATTATACTGTAGAGCATTGCCCAGGTATTACCCTTAGATTTCTGACCAGGGACAGTTGCCCAATTTTTACGCACTCCGTCGTGTTGTTAGTTGTTGTGGTCTATTTTACATCTAAGTGTAAGCTAATGGTTATTGAAAATGCTAGACTTCTTCGCTTTTCTTAACTTTCTTCTCAGGTACAATAACGTGTCGATTGTCCGCTATTTTCCTGTTTTGGTTCATTTGAACCCCTAAATATTTTCTGATCATCTAAAAATGCAATAGGCTTCTATTCTGACCGTTACCCCACCTCCAATTTCAATTTCGTGAGGATCGGCCCACAACTGCGACCCGTAGCGTGATTCCAATTAACATGGACAGACGGACATACATATCTAGATCGAATTAGCCCGACGATATAGGAATATCCATATATTATTTTTGGCCCAATCAAACTTATATTATCCCCAACACATAGTGTTGTAGGGTATACAGATCAATACCTTCCAATATTTTTTGTTTCTTTTGTAAAAAGCTATAATACTTGTTCGGATTCTATCAAACTCAATTGCTAATGAGTTAATTTAGAAATTTGATCTGTTTGTAAATATGAGCCAGTATTGCTTTATTTAAGTAACTGCACGCCTCGCTCTTTAATATTAGCTCAGGAGTCTTTTAAATATCATCACAAAATGCTCCACAAAACAACTAAAGGACTCGCGATTCTTGCCTTAACTCTTGTGGTTGCAGGCGACAAGTATCTTGCTCAGAAACGTAAGAGAAACAATCGAACCTTATCGCCTTAAAATAATTGAATTGTTTGTTATTGTAGCTGATTTTCTGAAACCTTGTAAATTAACTGAATCTGGATTTGATCAATGCCTGGCCAAAGGTTATCAGATTATATTTTCGGAATACAAAAATGGTAAAAAATATTTGCTCGACATATGATTATTTAAATGTCATTTGGAGTTTTTCTGTGTTTGTTGATTGAACAATCCTTCACATTTATTTCCAAAAACTCGATTTCTATTTATTTTCTAAAGGTATACCAGGTCTCAAAGGTCTCGGCTCTATTGATCCCCTTCACGTAAAACGTATCACCATAAATGAAAAAGGCAACAATGCGATATCATTGAATATTGTCCTTTCAAACGTCCTTTTGGAAGGTTTGCGAAATACCCAAGTTAACGAGGCAAAGTAAGTAATTATTATCATTTAAATACGAATACTCGATTTGGTAATAGATCAAGTTCGGAGGTGAACAAAATCGTGCCAATCCTTCTAATTCCGCTTCTTCAAAGTTAAATGTTTTAAGAAAAGAAGTAAAAAAAGCTGTAAACATTTTGTTAGAATTCTACAAAATACCGAATTCAGCCGTTATATTAGCATCTATACGACGACATGGACCTGCAAAGGCAACTTTTGTCATAAGCCATTTCAATATTCAAATGCGAAACTTGAAAAAAAAATCGGTGAATAATGTAGCTTAAATCAAAAAAATACCAAATATAGGAAGCCACCGTTATATGCATACCGTTATAATGGGGCTATACGAAGACCTACGAATTCAAAATACGAAACTTCAAACAATTCCGGTGAATAATATCGCTAAAATCATCAAAATACCGAATATTGACAGGTACCGTTATATGGGAGCTATGCGAAGACGTGGACCTGCACAGACAATTTTCTGTCATAGGCTGTAGTATCTATTACGAACTTCAAATACCAAATTTAAATGAATTCCGGTGAATAATATCGCTAAAATTATCAAAATACCGAATATCGACAGGTACCGTTATAGTCCTCGAAGACGTGGACTTGCACAGACAATTTTCTGTCATAGGCTGTAGTATCCATTAAGAACTTCAAATACAAAATTTGAAACAATTCCAGTGAATAATATCGCTAAAATCATCAAAATGCCGTATTTCGGGAGGTACCGTTATATTGGGGCTATACCAAAACGTCCTACGGACCTACATGACCCATTTTCATTACTTAAAGTCCTGCATATATAATATACGTTTACAGACGGACAGAAAGAGAGACATCGCTAAATCGACGTAGAATTTTATGCTGATCAAGAATATATATACCTTTTGGGGTCTAAAATGTATATTTCGGGTATAAAAATACAAGCCTTATATAGAGCGGAGGGAGTACCCGATATAGTTCAAATTTGATAATCCTAATATTTAGATAAGGCTTAGGTCAGGCGCGAAAACGAACAACATTTGCCAACTCATTTTTGCACTTCCCTTTGTAAACGTTATTTTTTTAGAGGCTTCACACTATGGTGTTTGAAATTTCGTTTATATCTCCCCGAAATAAATCTTCAGGACATCACAAAGTATATATACTTCTATGTCGATTTAGTCGTGTCCATTTGTCCGTCTTTGGAAATCACTCTAGCTTCCGAACGAAAAGAAGTTAGTGGACAAAATTTCACTCAAATTCAATTTACCGTGCCAAACAGGGAACAATCAATCAGCACTAACTGACTCTGTCCAATGTGTAAGAGCGTCATATTTATCTCCTTCTAATAGAGGGCTAATGTTTGACCCACCCAAAATATTACTATTTATTGGTGGAATATACGCTTTGAGCTACCCTATACGTCAAAAGAGTCCAGACCAGAGCGTCGAGATAGCATTCCGCATTCGAAGGTTTCGCCTCCATTTTTTCACCAAAATTGGTTAAAAATAGTTTTGAAATGGATTCATACAATTTTTGAGCGTTTTTGTCTCTTAATCGGTAGTATTTAAAGTTGATAATAGAATACTGCAGCTCATTTGTTTGTAACATGCCAAAGGAGATGGCATGTCTCATGTCCAGGACGCCCACCTGCTCATGCATTATTGAAAGCAAATTATATATCGCATTTATTGCCTAATTTATATGAAATTTCGTATTTTTTTTACCAAGAATGAACCCTATTTAAATTCCTTAATATATCATCATTCCTTAATATATCGTCATTCCATCGTTTCAGATGTAAAAATAAAAATTGTTCTAAAATTCCTTATTTGGTGTAATGAACAATTTGTTCAGAAATAAAAATCAGTTGACGGGTAGCGGTAATTAAATAATTTACTTGCACCAAGTTCAATTACATAGCACGTTTATATATAAAATATTTAACCGGGTTAAACAAGATAATTTACTAATCACAATAACAATTTAACGTATGACTTCCATAGTCAAATTTATTGTGATTGGCCTATTATTGACGTTAACGCGAAAAACAAACTTACAAATGCATTTATATGTCTACCTAACAAAAAGCTCTTCCATTAAAGTTTTGATAAATCGAAATATATGACCAAGGCGAAGTACTCACTTCCGGATACAACATTGAAATTTGATTACGAAGTGGAAGGACGCATTCTATCATTACCAATGAATGGAAAAGGCAAAGGAGAAATGAAAATTCGTGTGTCACTTCAACTCAATAGGAAATGTATAGTATAAGTATAAGTTTTTCTTTCACTCAACCTTCAGAAAATCTCAAAATTGATGTTGACCTTAAATTCAAACTTCGAGAGGAAGATGGTTTTAAATTTACTGATGTGGAAAACGCTCGTGTCCTTATTAACGATGTTGGTGGTTTTCACTTTAACTTGGAAAATCTTTTCAATGGACAAAAAGATTTGGAGAACTCAGCCAATGAATTACTAAAAACAAGTTGGATGGAAATATTTCAGACGTTGCGTCCCTCGATCAGAACAACAATTCAGACTATCTTAGAAGATCGTTTCAAGAAAGTATTTGGTCATATACCAGGAACGTATTTCATCGAAGATTTATGAGGAGGTATTTTTTGTAAACAACATTTGATATCATGAAATAAAAACAAATATTTATGTAAAAATGTTTACCCTGATTGCGGGTTTTAATTATTTTCTTCCCAATGAGAAAAACATTATTTTTAAACATAATTCACACCTATTTAAAAAAAGGGCAGTATGAAGATAATTCTCATCCTTATTGAAAAAAATAAACTTTCTTCAGTTCAAGGAAAATCGCTATTGAAATCGGTTCAGATTTGCAAATAGCTCCCATCAACATCTTCACCCGACTACAATTTTTTTGTGCACGAAATACATAATATCTCATCGAATCTATATATGTATAAAAGAAATTTATGCTATATACTACGCTTATCATCCAAGAACGACTAGACTGATTGGAAAATTCGTATTAATTTGGATTGGTCCCTTGGAAGAAAAACATAAAATTAAAAAATCGAATAAAAATACGCCAATAAAAATGTGAATAATTTTGTTACATTTTTGTGATATATTTATACCCTATACAATCCGGTTATTAGGTTTTTGTGCATTTGTTTGTAATATGGAGAAAACCAGTAAAGAAAGTCTTTAAATTGAGCGGGGCCGACTAGGTTAATAAAAGTTCTAATGGGGAATTTGTGAGATAATTAAAAGTCCAAAGGAACTAATATATGGCAGGAATATCCTCCTCTGAATCGATTTCTACTAAATTTTTCGAGGCATTTGTGTCTTTTCAATTCGGGCTTGTATTATACATTCAGTGCACAATTAACTTAAAATCGGATAGATATAATAGATTAGCTATATCTAAATCTGAACCGATCCCGATAAAATTTGGCAAAGGTATTTCTGAGCTGTATTTATACCAGGGTATTATGTCTTTGCGCATTTGTTTGTTACAGGCAAAAGGAAACTAGATAGACCCATAGTTTCCTTTGATGATCTGCAAAGAATCACATTCTGAGTCGATTTATGCATGTCCGTCCGCCTGTCTGTCTGTCTGTCTGTCCGTCTGTCCATGTATTTTTGTAAACAAATTACAGATCGCATTTATTGCCCGATTCAGATTGCACAAATAATTTGTTTGACCCATGGACGAACGCTATTGAAATTGGAGATAATCGGTCAAAATTTGGGTATAGCTTCCATATATATTTTGGTCCAATTTGCTTTATATTGTGCACCAAACTTGTAATATCAACCCAAATAGTATGGAATTTTGCACGTTCGACCAGATTAGACCTGAAAATAAGTATGCCAAATTTGATCGAAATCGGTTCAGATATAGATGTAGCTCCCAAATGTATTATTCATCGGATTTATTATTTTTGACCTCCGCAGCCGTAATATGCACTCTGTAACAACGATATTTGAGGAAATATATCAAATATAACTCAGAAATACCCTTGCTAAATTTTATCGAGATCGGTCAATATTTGGATATAGCTCCCATATATATCTTCGTCCGATTTGCCTTTTATAGTGCTTCAAACGTGTAATATTAGCCCAGACGGACGGATGGACGGACAAACGGACGGACATGCATAAATCGACTCAGAGTGTGATTCTATGCAGATCAATATGGACCTATGCACAAAGATTGCAGATATGGGAGAATTAAATAATACAAGCTATGATTATAATTCTAATTTAAAGTTCAAAGGACTAAATATGCCGAAGCATTTGTATTTTTCAATACGGGCTTGTATTGCCCATTTGTTGCACAATTATCTTAAAATCGGATAAAGATATGTATGGGAGCTATACCCAAATCTGAACCGATCTCAATAAAATTGGCAAAGATATTTCTGAGCTGTATTTTATATATTTCTCTGAATATCTCTGTTACGGTGTGCATATTGCTGCTGTTGGGAAAAAATATAACAAATCGAATGAACAATATATATGGGAGCTATAGCTATATCTGAACCGATTTTCACCAAATTTAACATACTAGCTTCTAGACTCAGTTCGGTCGTATGTGCCAAAATGTGAAAAATGTGAAAAATTCCATACTATTTGGGCTGATGTTACACGTTTGCTGCACGAAAAAGGCAAATCAGACGAAGATATGTGTGGGAGCTATGTCTAAACTTTAATCGATTATCTCCAATTTCAATAGGGTTCGTCCTTGGGACAAACAAATGATTTGTGCAAAATTTCATCTCGATCGGGCAATAAATGTGACCTGTACTTTGTTTACAAAAATACATGGACAGACGGACGGATGGACAGACAGACGGATGGACAGAGAGACGGACGGATGGACATACATAAATCAACTCAGAATATGATTCTATGCAGATCATCAAAAGAAACTATGGGTCTGTCTCGTTTCCTTGTTACAAACAAATGCACAAAGACCAGGGCTGCCATTTTTGCGGATTTATCGGCATTTTGACGATATTTCACTCTAAAATTGAGAAATGCCGATTCTCAGATTTTTGCCTCAAAAATTACGATTTTTTAACAATTGTGTCAAATTGCCTTACATTTTAATTTAAAACGTCATTAAAAGTCGTCAAATTTATTTTAATACATCTAAACGAAACAAAAACATATACCTTTTTGGCGCATATTCTCAATGATATTAATAACACCTACAAATTATTTGAAAAATAATCTACCGGAATTCGTAATTTACTTAACCCAATGGAGTTACTTTTTGGAAGCGTTTTGAGTAATTTCATCAAACAGGTCGTTATAAGAGATAATATTCATTCATTCACTTTATGGACACCAATTTTTATACCCTCAGTCATATGTCTACAGAGGGTATATATCATTTGATACGACTAAAATGTGCCTCATCGAATAACTATGAAAATCATAATATTTGCATCAGTGAGACCCAGGAAATGGAGAATATCAGTATTTTGAATAATTATAACTCTTATGAAATGTGATGTAAGAGTCTGTGTGCCTTCTAATTACACATATCACTATATTTTATTAACCCAAGGTCTGGTGTGAAGATGGAATATAACTGTCCACTCCTTCTGGTACCTCCTGAAGCTCACAAAACGCGAAACTAACATCGGATTCCATTCAGACTTGGTACATCATAATATTTTATCAACACAAATTATATTACAAAGATAATAGCCATCTTCTTCCGGTACCTCCCACACAAAGGGTCAAGATTATTGATCCAGTTCTCTACAAATTTCACACATGCCATTATTTTTACTAACGCAAGATCTGCTGTGAAAATGGGCTATATTGGGGAGCTCTTTCTGGTACCTTCCACAGGCTTCAAGACTTTGAAAAACAAAACGCTCAAAAAAGCGAAATAAGCACCCAACTCTCTTCAAATTTCACATATGCAAACATTTTTGGCAAAGCAAGATCTGTTATGAATGATATATATCTGCGAACCCCTTCTGGTACCGCACCCACAAAGTGTCATAATTTGCAATACTTTTATCTGTCATAGCATGCGAAACAAATTAGTGATTCTTTACAGCTTTAAATATTTCCCAGAGATGAATATGGAATTGATGATTTCGCTTAAAATTGGATACAACATTTCAATTTTCTTATAATTTTGCCCATACCAATATTTCTATCTTATTTGATGAAGTATAAAAGTGTAATACTTCGGTCGACTATATCTTTTACCTCAAGCACATTTGATCTTTTTTCTAAAAATTACCACACATCTCATATAAAATGAGGAAAGAAGTCCAAACCTGGCAGCTCGCAATACTTATATGATATTTATTTAGGCCCAAAACGAAATGGTCAATATTGACCCGTTCCTTTGGAACTTACACCAAAGAGGGCTAACAATTCAAATAATCATAGCTGGAGTCAAAATATATTTAGATAATCGAACATTGGCTGAGGGTATACATCTGTCAGCAAAATCGACTGATACTTTTTAACTTGTTTTCTTATACAAAACTAAATTTATTAATCTATTTTTATTGATATGCATACCTGTGCATATTCATTTTCGGTTTTTTAGATGTAAAAAAAAATATGCTTTAATTTAATAGTCTATACTTTGCCGTATTTCACGAATACAAAAGCCGATTATTCTGATTGTTTTCTGAAAAATTGACGATTTCTCTAGAAATTTTGTTGGCAGCCCTGACAAAGACGTAATACCCTGACCACGTTGTGGTGTTGAGTTTAAAAATTTGGTAGTTTTATAGGGCAGCAACGCGGCCGGGATCAGCTAGTAATAGATATTGGCACAAGTTTGTGCAACTAGTTTCTGATTTGACATTTATGCCGCTCAAAGCTGTAAAATGTAATTATAGTATTCAGTATGAGAAATCAAATACAGTGTAGAAATGCCTTTGGAATTTATTGTCGACATCGGTCAGGTTTAAATATGGCTTCCATATTTAATTTGATGTAAATAATATTGAAATATGTTTAGGAAATCGTCATTCCGTTTGTAACTCCTCGAAATATTCATGTAAGACCCTACAAAGTATATATATTCTGGATCAGCGTAAAAATCTAAGATGATTTAGCGATGTTAGTCTATCTGTGTGTCTGTCTATCTGTTTGTCTGCTGTAATCACATCTTTCGAACGAATTGAGATAGAAGGTTAAAATTTTGCACACATATATTTTTTGCCAGTAGGCAGGTTAGGTTCGTAAATGGATCATGTAGGTCCGCGTTTTCGTATAGACCTTTATTTATCGGTATCTTCCGATATTCAATATTTTGTTGATTTTAGCGACATCATTCACCTGATTTTTTTCAAATTTAGTATTCGAAGTTTGTACAACATATTATGCTTACAAATTTCGTATGCAGGTCCATGTCTTCATATATCCCCCAAATAATGGTACCTCCCTTTATTCAGTATTTTGATGATTTTAGCTACATTATTTCGCATTTAAAGATTTAAATGTCTTATTTGAAGACTTTAATGGGTGCTACAGCCTAATACAAAAAAAACCTTATGCAGGTCCACGTTTTCGTGTAGCCGTCGTATAAAGGTCATCAGCCCCCGTATAAAGGGTATTTAAAGTCCGTGCGGGCCGAACTTAGCTGATTTTTTACTTGTTGTAATACGCTGTAGTACCACAACAATAATGACTCACGGCACATTTCTTCAACGTACAAACATTATTAGTTCTACAAAAAAGTTTCGCTCGGTATGTTTTTATATGTTAATAATTTGAAGTAATATTATGTATGTATGTTTCTCGATGTGGTGCAATGGAACTAATCTATATATATGTATATATATATAATATATATATATATATATATATATATATATATATATATATATATATATATATATATATATATATATATATATATATATATATATATATATATATATATATATATATATATATATATATATGTAAGTACATATAAGCATTCATAGCTCCGAAATTATCATTTGCTTTAAAAAGCAGGAATCTAATTAGAAATTAACAGACCTTGAGAAACAAGTTTAATAAACAACGGTTCAAAGCTTCAATTTATCGTCCATAAAATTGCATTTTATTCGTAATTATTTTCTCACAGTTATTCAGACGGAATCAGAACAGAATCACGTTACAAAGCGCTTAATTCATTAAAAATAGTCTTTAAAAGATGTACAAAATTAAACTAAGCAGCATTCTTGTATTCACATTGATTTGTTTGGTGTCCGCCAAATTTCTTGCTGAAAAACGTAATTGTCGAATCGCCGCCAATTATTGTATTGATTTTTCACAATTGTTTATCTCTAATTCCAGCTGATTTTATAACACCTTGCAAGCAAGCCGATCCCAATTACAAACAATGTGTAGTTACAAATTTCCAGGCATTTTTCGGGGAATTTAAAGATGGTAGTATAAATGTTAGCAATTTTCCCTTTTTTGGAAACTCACTTCAAAATTTGTTAGATACCATTTGCTGTTTCGTGAGGTTTCAAACCACAAATTATTTTTTCCACTTCTGAAATAGGTGTTCCTGGCCTAAAATCTGTCGGTCCAATTGATCCTTTTCGCATTAAGCGTATTTCACTAGCGGAAGATGCCAGTCGTATAGTTTCCATAAATATTGACTTCACCAATGTGGAACTGCACGGTCTTCGAAATACAATTATCAACGATGCTGAGTGAGTATTTTGAAATTATTTTTAAATAGAAAACGGAAATCTAAATTTATAATAACGTTCTAGTTTTGAACTCACAAAGTTGGTGAACAAAATGACCATGACGGTACCCGAATTAATAATGACCTCCGATTATGTAATGAAAGGACGAATTTTGGCCTTGAGTTTGAATGGAAATGGTAAAGCTCAAACTAAATTAGGTGAGCATTATCTACATTTCACTAAGAGTATTTTGTTCCACAGTTTTAATGAAATAGAGAGATAAGGCTTGAATTTGAGGACGAAGAAGAAATGTTAACAGTTGAATCTTCCGCTCCGTGGTAAGCATCCAAGTGAAAAGAAAACAAGAGAAAGTAGAACAAATGATATGCATTATGGTAGTATACAGATATATATCATTCTTTGCGGTTTTTCTCAATTTTTGCCGATTTCAGAATAACACATTTTTATAAGGTTCCTAATGCATTTTTTATGTCATCGGTGGAGGTTATAAAAAGTTTGTTACATATATATATTTCTGATCAGCATACATGACAGTCCGTCTGTCTGTCTGTGGAAATCACTTTAGCTTCCGAACAAAATGAATTTGATTAAAAAACTTTTACTCAAATATATATTATGCCTGCAGGACTTTTGAAATAGCCCCATATAACTGTGCCGCATATTTAAGATGTTTTGGTTGTTTTGGTTTCACAATTTCAACCCTAATTCGAGATAAATTGTCAGTTTGTGTAACTAGCATGTAAGAAACATTCTTGCATAGAACTGTCTGTATATGTCCAAGTTTTGGTAAAGTCCGAATATAACAGTACATCCAAATATTCGGTAGTTTAAGGTTTCAAGCTACATTTTTCAACAGAATTATCTCAAACTTGGTATTTGGAGTTGGAAGAAGTCGCTGCTTTCTCTGGCAGATAATTGGCTGTAGAGGTTTTCACGTTTTTGTATAGCCCCATATAACTGTAACAACTGATATTCAAATTATAGCAAAATTACTAATATATATTCTTTAAATTTCTCAAGTTCCTACCAAATGGTAAAAGAGATTTCTCTGTGTTGTAAATTATGGCTTAACTAATTTCTATAAAACATATTAATCTCCAAGAACTATAATGGAATTATAATCTGCATGTGTCGAGTTTCCTCCGCTGGGAACATTCAAGATTGCCTACTACAATAGTTTTGCACAATAGCGTAAAGAGGTCCAGATCTGTGGAAAAAAAATTAATTAAATCTTTTTGATAATTATGATATCGTAGTAACGTATATATCTCGTTTCTTTCCGGCTATATCGTGACAAGATTGAAAGAATGTGTTCTAACTGTTTAAAATTGTTATACCCTCCACCATAGTATGGAGGGTATATTATATTAAGTTTGTCATTCCGTTTGTAGCACCTCGAAATATTTGAAGTTCGTAATGGATACTACAGCATATGACAGAAACTTGTCTTTGCAGGTTCACGCCTTCGTATAGGCCTCATATAACGGTACCTCCTGATATTCGGTTTTAGCGACATTATTCACCGGAATTGTTTCAAGTTTGGTATTTGAAGTTCGTAATGAATACTTCAGCCTAAGACAGAAAATTGTCTGTGCATGTCCACGTCTTCATATAGCCCCCATAAATTGGTACCTCCCTATATTCGACATTTGGATGATTTTAGCTACATTTTTCACCGATTTTTTTGAATATTGTAATGGCTTATGACAAAAATTGCCTATGCAGGTCTACGCCGTCGTATATACCCTAATATAACGGCTACATTCGGTACTTTTAAGATTTTAACAGAATTTTTAACGGATTTTATTTTTTTGAAAATTGCCAAGTTCGTTCCGAATGGTGGAGTGTATTCAAAGATCGTCCCGGCCGAACTTACAGCTTTTTACTTTTTAAATATAAATTTTATTTTTAAAATACAAGGTGTTGTTATAAAATATCTGCAATATCTTCAAACCTTTTAAAAAATACCGGTACACTTTCTATTTAGAAACTACATCCACTCCTGCTACTGTACCAGAATCAGAAAATATTTCCTATTATTAGCAGAATATCAATTAAAAAATTGACGATAATAAGATATGATGTCGACGAGGAGTAGATGCTCAAAAGGTTTTTTTAGCAAAACTTCCAATGGCCAAAAAATACTTTGGTACCACGACATATTTTTAGCGAAGAGCGCTTAAACGTGGAAATTTTGTTTGGAAATTAAAGTTCGAGAGTATACCTGATAGGTACTTAAGTGTAGCAATATATATTTTCAGCCGATTTAATAAATGTGATGCACCAAACACGCTATATACCTTCAATTTGGAATGTGTAAGGGAATTTTGTTCAAAAATCAATTTGAAAAGGTTTTTTAAATTATTTAATTTGTTTTTAAATTTTTTTTTTTAACAATAAAATATTCGTTTATAAAAGGTTAGCCAAGCGCACTGGTTTCAGCTAGTATATATATGGGAGATATATCTTAGTCTGGACCGATTATCACCAATTTCAAACAAATTATCTGCGCAAAACGTTATCACAAACGAGCAATAAATACAAACAGTATTTTGTTCACAAAAATACATGGACAGCGTAGTGTCGGGTATCAAAATCGAAAAATTAGACATTAAACGAACAATTCAATTTAATTTATAGACCACTTCTCTTTATTTAGAATATACATCAAACGTGACCGGATGAGCTACAGTAGTATTAGTATTGTATTGGTTAACTAATTGAATTTTTCTCTTCTTTTTACAGAAAATCTCAAGTTAAATGTCATATACAAAATGAAACTGCGTGAAGAAAATAGGCATAAATTCACCGACCTAGATAAACTGCGTGTGGAAGTCGTCGATCTTGGTCGGCTGCAAAGTAATTGGGAAAATCTCTTTAACGGACAACGAGATTTAGAAGAGTCCGCAAATGCTCTGTTCAACGATAACTGGAAGGAACTTTTTGAAGCACTTAAACCATCGTTTACATTGACCGTACAAAAAGTCCTGGAGGATCGTTTTCGAAAATTATTCGCCTACATACCAGCAGACTATTACTTTGAAGATTTGTAAACAAGCTTCTGCATATAAAAATCGATTTTTATTTTCCTTGCCAAATCGTTTTTAATGATAAAATACAAAACAAAATTAATATTTGTATTATTATTACTAAGCTCTTCAAGTTGTCACGTTTGTAAAAAAAAAAACATATTATTTTTCTATTAACAATTTTATTAAATAATTCGCTGCAATAAAAATGTTGTTTAACATCTGAAGGGCGTATTGATTGGTCTTGAAAAGAAGTGTTAGTTTGCTGAATCAGGTTCGCTAAACTTTTCAATGATAGCTGCAACCACAGAAAGGTCACCAGCAATAGAAATAAAGCTTTTTTGTTGAACAAACAAAAAAAAGCGTGACTTCTACTGAGGCAGCAGCAAAGCCCATCATTACAATGACCGTGAAAATTCTGCAGCTTAGACTCGAGCTTCAAGTAACTGAATTTACAACATAACTCAATATCAATTTAACGAGTTTTCTTCAGTTGCCAAGCGAACTGTATGCAACGCATGTTCAGCATACAAAATGATTATTTTCAAATTCAATGTTATTTGAAATTTAAAGTCATAATTTACTTAAGTGAATTGAAGAAATAATATCATGCAGTAGTGTGTCATCATAGTGAAGGTTTATTATACTTTCCAAGCAAAGTTCCAATTTAGGATTTCGAAAGATTCTTTAGTTTATAAAATAAGTATATTTGATTAAATTTATTTTTATTACGATGCATTTGTATTTCCAATTGTTATTAAATATGTTTTTTAGAACTCATTTCAATCTAGATAATAAGATAATTTAAGATAATCAAAATAGTTGTTAGATTTAAAACTTTAATTTAAACCGATACGAACTTACTTATCTCCTCGTAAAAATTCACTAGTATTCTAACTTTTGACTACTTGTGGTGGTTGTAACACAAATTAGTTGTTATCTGAAGTTTCAAAACGTCTATACATATAACAAGTAAGTGTAGGCTACAGTCGGGTGGGGCCGACCATGTTATACCCGAAAAACTATAATTTATGGTAAAGTTTCTGCAGAAATAATACCCTTGGAATAGAATGAACTAGCTCCTCAAGTTTTTGAATACAAAACTGGCTTACTTAAATCGTTCGTTATATCGAAATATAACGATTTGGTATAGCCCCATATATCGGTACCTCCCGGTATTCGGTATTTTGATGATTTTAGCGACATTAATCAGCGGGATTGTTTCAAATTTGGTATTAGAAGTTTGTAATGGATACTACAGCCCAAAACCGAAAATTGTCTGTGCAGGTCCACGTCTTCGTATAGTCCCCATATAATGGTACATCCCGATATTCGGTACTTTGTTGATTTTAACGACATTATTCACCGGAATTGTTTCAAATTTGGTATTTGAATTTCATAATAGATACTACAGCCTATGACAAGAGATTGTCTGTGTAGGTCCACGTCTTCGTATAGCCCCCATATAATGGTACCTCCCGATATTCGGTATTTTTATGATTTTAGCGACATTGTTCACCGGAATTGTTTCAAATTTGGTATTTGAAGTTCGTAATGAATTGTACAGCCTATGAAAGAAAAAATATACCGAATGTAGCCGTTATATTAGGGTCTATACTTTTGTCATAATCCATTAAAATATTCAAATACGAAACTTGAAACAAAAAATCCGGTGAATAATGTATCTAAAATCATCAAAATATACAGTTTTCTGTTACTGTCTGTAGTACCTATTAGGAACTTCAAATACGAAATTTCAAACAATTTCGGTTGATATTGAACCTAAAATAATCAAAATATCGAATATCGGGAGGTACTGTTATATGGGGACTATACGAAGACGTGGATCTGCACAGACATTTTTCTGCCATAGGCTGTAGTATCCATTACTAACTTCAAATACCAAATTTAAAACAATTCCGAAAAATAATGTCTCTAAATCATCAAAATACCGAATATCGGGAGGTACCGTTATATGAGGGCTATACGAAGACGTGAATCTGCACAGACAGTTTTCTGTCTTAGGCTGTAGTATCCATTACGAACTTAAAATACCAATTCCTGTGAATAATGTCGCTTAAATCACCAAAATACCGAAAATAGGGAGGTACCATTATATGGAAGCTATACCAAAACGTGGACCCATATGACCCATTTTCAATACCAAAAGTCCTAAAGACATGTACATCAGTAAAGTTTTATTAACCGACTAAATTTCCTTCGGAAGTTAGAGTGATTTCCACAGACGAACGGACATCGCTAAATCAACATAAAATTTTATGCTGATCAAGATTATATACCTTTTGGGGTCTAAAATGTATATTTCGAGGTATTGAAGACGAAATGACAAACTTAATATACCCTCCATACTATGGTGGATGGTATAATAATGTCGCATAGTAATGCAGAAGAGTTATCTAAGTTTTTGACCGGAGAAAAGAGACCATCCAGCCATGTGTAAAATCGTCGTGAAATAACTGACTAGCTGACTGATCGAGAAACAACGCCCAGACGATACAGCTGAATCTTGAAATTTTGGAAAACTCGCACGAAAAGGGTAAGAAAAGTACAAACGGAAATTCGATATGAAAGTCACTGACACTGACAGGATAGGTGAACTAAAGGAAATTCGAACAATTGGGTACCATTTAGAATTATGTGAACGGAGCTTGAAATTTAATATGAGAATCAAGGTTGAAATATAAATTTGATATATGAATGAGGTTTTAGAAATGTGTGCTAAATGTGCAAACTGTACTAAATTTGGAACATTTTGCTTTAGGGTGAACGAATGAAGCTAGAATTTTAAAATTTTGGGATCCCAGTCGCTAATAAGTTTCTGTTAAAGGAGTGGTTTTTGAAAAGTGTGCAATGTGCATAAAAAGTTCTAAATAGTACTATATTAGGTATTAGAATTGCTGTTCATGTGTAGCCTGGTCATATGGAGGTAGTTCCCAAAAAATCTACTATAATTGAACAAGAAGTGAAACGACCTAGTTGTTTATGTGCACACTGGCATTATTGTACGAGATTTGTACGAAAAGTACTAATTTTTGGATTTGGTATTGGTTGAAGAAATAGAGATAAAATTTGAAAATTTGATATTTATATTATAGATGGTAGCTGTGTTTGAGATTTAGCGGTGGTTTGAAAATTTGTCCTATATTTGTTCGAAAAGTACTAAATGGTACTAAATTTAGTATTGGGTGAAGGGATAGGGCTGGTTCATTATTTATATTTCGGGTAGCTCCCGTATAATGTTACTTCCCAATAGTCGCTATCTTGATGATTTAAGACATATTTCCCGAAGGAATTGTTTACAATTTAATATTTGGAGTTCGTAAATAACACTTCTTCCTCTAAAAAACGGTTTTATATAGTTCCATGTTTTGCTATAGCCCCATGTAACGGTAACTTCTGATATCCGGTATTGTGTTATTTTTAACCATTCCAATGAAATTGTTTTAAATTTGGTAAAAAAAATTCTTGGTGGGCACTAAATATGTTTTTTTATTGGTCAATGGTTTCGTATAGTACTCATACAACGGTACCTACCGATATTCGGTATTTTGTAGAACTAATTCACATTTTACCAGAATTGTTTAAAATTCTTTATTTATTTTTGGTAATGACAGAATAAGAGATTAGACAATGATCACGTTTTTCATATGCCCCCATATTACAGTACCTCCCAAAATTCGGTATTTTTTCGATTTTAGACACATTTTGCAACGAGAATTACCAGAGAATTGTCAATACATGCATTCCACTTTTCTGCATCCTACGTATAAAACCCACCCACGTATAAACCCACCTACGTATAAAACCCACTTTCCTGACCTATCATACATACGCCAAAAAAGTCTCAAACCTTTGCAAAAATATGATAGAATATTGTCAGGCATATAATAATTGTCAGTGATCGCATGTCCATCATCTGAAAAATCGGTCCACACATTTCAAAAAGAGCAGTATACTGACCCTGAAACGATTAAGCCAGAGTAGTTTGTCTTTTCTTGGATTTATCCTTTTCTGGATCTTACTTATCTCTGTCTTCAATATAACTAGAAACCACTTTTTTATAATTCAATTTATTTAAATTTATTAACACTTTTATTAATATTTGTGCTTAAACATCTACCTCAATTTAGTTGAGGGCTACTAATTGCTAATCAAACGTCCATTGTGAACAAAATCAGGCATTACATGTTGATAATAACAATACAAGGAGGCGAGAATTTAAAAAACGATTACTTTAATCATCTCACTTTTTAATTTAAGCTATTACCTAGACCCTTCGATTAAACAACAATACTTGTCAACAAAAACTATTACGCCATGGGCAATTTAACCGCTACTCGGTGCCATAATTGAACTGGAACTAAATATGTAAATGTGCTATTAATTAAGTTTTAATCTATAGAAATAAATTACAAAGATGACAGCTTGACGCTCAATGGCTATTTTGCATTCTTCATGACAATGCGAAAACAAGGATTCTCTCCAAAAACTTAGAAAAATACACTGTGCAACAATTTTCGGGTCGGTTATCTCCACCTTATATTTCTCCACCCCCAGGCAATATTGGTTGGGAACGTGGATATGGGAGGTACCGTTATATGGGAACTATACCAAAGTATATACCTATGAGGAAATTTTTCTGTAGGATGGTTATCTACCTCCAAAGTAGCGTAAATACAGATCGATTGGAACATGTTGTCAAGTACCTCGAAATAGGTATAATCAGGATGTACATATATATGGGCGCTACTCCGCAACATTGAGCTACATTAGCCAAGATTAACCGCATACTATCACCTCCACTTAGAACCTCACTTATTTTACCAGGGGGTAAGGCAGGGATTACCTAGGTTTCGGAAAGAGCCACCAATCCTCATCAGTTCCCTTGTTTTTTATCTGGGATATTCTCCACAGACGTTATTTTAAAAATAACTTGTATGACAAAAAACATTTTTTACCCAAGTGACGAGATCATAAGCTCAATAGAAGAGTAACCAAAGAATTAAATAAAACTAAAATTCTTTCGGAAAATTTTCTAAATCTTACAACCGCACTTATAAACATTTACATCTTTCTCCACTTGTTATGCTTTCGTTCTACCTGAACGAAGTAGCATAACCATGAAAGTTGGTTTTGTCTATTACAACAAAAACCCCTTCGTCGACCGAGCCTTGTCTATTAATAGAACATTGTTGGCTTGTTTGTT